AAGAGGAAATAAAGAAAAATAATGTATGTGAGACACGAAGTTCCATCCATAATAAATAAATGAAAATATTATACAGTTAGGCCGACTTTTCCGCCAGTTCGTGCCTTTTTTCTGCAGGGAGAGAGAGCGAGAGAGAGTGCAGTTTGGGAATCCAATAATCTAATAATATGTGCTACGATGTAATCGCGCGAGAGAGAGAGAGAGAGAGAGAGAGAGAGAGAGAGAGAGCGAAAGAGTAAATTAGCCAGTTTAAAAAGCCAGTTTTAAAGAATAAAAATAAGAAAAATAAAAGATAGAAAAATAAAAAAAACGAGGAAGCGATGCAAGAAACTAAGAACGCAGAAACCGATGCGCAGAAAGAACGATCGAAACGCATGTTATAAACGCAAAAGAAAAAAAAATAGCAAAAACATACTGAATTTTATTACATAATATATATTTTCAGAAAACGCGCTGCGGGGTACTCGTATTCTTTCGACTAAAAAAAAAAGTAATAATAAAAAAAAACGCGGGGGATAAATCGAGAGGCGAAGGAAGAGGAAAGATGTAAATCGTACATGTTTACACGCGCAAACGCGAGAGAAGTAGAGCGAAGAAGAGAGTGTGAGAAGAGAAAACTATAGCAATTGTTAAACATTCGTTAAATTGTCCTCGTTTCACGATGTAATAAAGGCTATTTTACTTTGATGTTCCGCTGTTGTTTCCTGTACAATCGATGACCCTAAAATGTGTACGCACAGAGCATGCACGATTCTTAAATAATCAGCTGAGACACAAAATACGGATAGAAAGGACATGTGGATAACGTGAAAAAGTACGGCATGCTATATCTCATCAGCAACATGATGTGAGATTGAAAGCTCTGAAAAGTCTAGAAGTGTGTAACTAAACATTAGGTATATTTTACCATTATTAATATCACAACGTTTACATTTTTCCTGAGATTTAACATTTTGTAATCCGAGCCCAAATAGTTTGTACACAATTGTGTTTAGTATTTAAAAAATGTATAACTTTTTTTAAATCAAAGTGCAACAATGGTCTTCCAAATTTGAGAAAATTAATCTTAAAAAACGTAAAAGAATTAAATATTTACCTTAAAAAAATCGGTTATTAAAGTCGAAGGCAAGAGAATTCAATTTATCGTTAGAATAATTTTCTCAAGTTTTTATAAAGACGTAAGTTAAAAAAAAAAAATTAGCTGTACTAAAATCTACAATCTTATTATCTTTGTACATATGTTTTAATTAACTATACAATCAAACTTATAATATTTATGAGAATAACAGGCTCAGGTCTCAAGATGTAACATTAACATTAACAGTGAAAATTCATGACTAAAATTACATAGCTAGTTTTAGACACTGAATATCGGCCGCGTCGCCCTTGTATCTATTTAGTTGCCGCAATAGATGCAGTTTCGGCTGCTTACAATGCGTCGTATGCAGCTCGTACGATGTACACATGTTCAATAAGATAGGCTCTTGCAGGCTTTTCAATGGATTTCTATTGACGATGCTCTCGAACAACCATACGGCCGCTTTCAACTGGCCGGTGTACAACAAACACACCGCCATGTTATTAATCAACATTACGTTGGACGGATCCATCGCGGACGCCGACTGAAAGTAGTTATAGGCTTCTTGAAAGGCATTTTGTGCGACTGCCATTAGTCCACTATCCACCAGTTCCCGGATGTTCGTTGTCTTCTCCTCCTTATTACCGCGAACGAGAAACTTTTCCGCCGCTGAGACATCACCGAGGAACAAATGTACCCTTCCTATGGCCGATCTCAAGATACCTATCTGCTCCGCGGTCCAATCAGGCAGCTTGCACAGATCCTCCAGTATCTCTATCGCAAGAATATAATTTCTCATACCGATGGCACAATTGACAATGGAAATGAGAATCCTGGATTTTCTAGCTGTCCATAGTTTCACAGCCTCGTGCTGATCGGACTCACTAATCTTCACGTGTGTTCCCTCGCCGCTAAGACCGGCATGGAAATTAGCTATAATTTGATGGACGGTGGCTAAAAGTTTATATAAATTATCTAACGCTTGTTTGGCTTTGTCATAATACAAGGGAATCTCTGCCAACAATAATCTAAAAGCAAACGATGCCATGGAGCCTGGTCTAGTGCCATATAATTCCGGATAAAAGGTGAAGTACATGTCGGGTTTATCGAGATTACCGAATGGCTTCGATTCATTTTCCAGCACATCCATCTGTCTCAATTTCACCAACAGTGAGAGTCTCGTATACCAGAGCTGCAGAGAATGAGGCGTATGCTTACTAGGTTGATTGATCTTGCCGTAACCTTGGGCATAGATAGCCAATAGTCTGCCGGACAGATTGACCGCTGCTCGATAGCAACCGGCCTGTATCAGATTTCTCAGACCACGTTCATCCTGTGTCACATCGGACGCCGTGAGCACATTCCGATGGATGTTCTCATCTTCGCCCAAAAAATGGATAGATGCGTTCTTAATCAAATCCGGCATGTCACCCTGCACGGCCAGTCCGGGCATAGTGAGATTCTCACGGTCCAGATGACTCGCGCCAGCTGCGGAGGTCGCGATGGACCGTAGTATCTTTCGCGTTTGATCCGATGGTATCCAGGCATCTCGGTGCGCGTCGCTCAATGCATTGTGCTCAACTCGATCAACCGTCGCGTCCAACAATAAAGACGTAGATGTTCGCAGGGTATCCGCATCGAAAGAGTTCGCCGACGCGACATCGGACAAAGGACCGTAATCTGAAACTGTACCTACAGGGATTGATCGTACGTCGAAAAAATCGGACCTTTTAGGTACGACGATTTCATCGAAAATCGTAGGCATTGCGTTGTTGAAATAACAATTGATATCCATATCTCTGCTCTCTATGTCCTCGTCTTTTGATTTAGACGTTGTTGCATTCTCTTCTGCCATCCCTTCTCCGTTTCTATTTCACGTAGATTACGATGAGATTATCTTATTTCAGACGTCGAGCGTCCATTTATTAGCGGAAGAACTCTAAATTGTGAAGAAAATTATTATTAAATTTGATAAGATAATTGTCAAATGTAAGGTAAAAAGATTCTCCTTTTTACCTGCATATAAGATTCCTTTTCCTTCCAGTGTTTATATTTTTTATCTCAATTTCTGCAGAAATTTTCAAAATTGCAAGTGATATCCCATCTCATTTTATCTATTAGAACTTTAAATCACTGTTATATTGACAACAGAAGATTACTAAAATTGAGGTTATCTGTGTTCTGTGACCTGTCAAAATGATGATTGTTGCGAACAGTAATGTCAGAATGGAGACTGGAGTACTTGGAAACTCAAGCTCCTGTCAAAGAGAAGCCTGAGAGGGGTCACGCCACCGTTTTTCGTAAGACGCTTTCTCTAGTTGATGCAGTAGCGCCAACTAGATCGATTTTAGAACCGGCGGAACTACATGGCCAAATTCACTTTTCAGTGTCACGGTAAAACGATCGGTTGGTGCATGTCCGTGCTAAACACATTGTCACCGACGAGATATCATTAAAGACCGGTGGTCTTTAATAGTATCTCATCGGTGACATTGTGGATGAAAAATGCGAAGAAATATTATGGATTTATTAATGTTTTATTAGCTGCGCGTGATGCTTTGTCATTCTAGTGTATACTACAGCGATAATAAATTATAATAGAAGTATTTTTATGTATATACGCATGTAAAATAAAATAAATTTTCTTAAATTAATTTTCTTAATAATTTTTTTCCTAATTTTTAAATATAACGTATGCGTGTGCACCGATGCACATTAAAAGCTATTATAGACAAATTTATATAAGCATAAGTAATTATATTTTCCTATAGTTTTAACCGTGTTCTATTGTTTTTTAAGTATTTATAATTGTTGACAGCGTTAATTAATTTTTTCAACGTTTATATGATCGCCGGTGATACTATCAGCCGTCAGATTTTCGTAAAATGTCATAAAATGTCAAAAAATCGTGATATCTTGTATAATATTGTTTTTTTAGCGTATAAAATATTAAAACTGTTTTTTCTATCTTGTGGAATTCCATTCGGAATTTTAATTAAAAGGCCGGAAATTCGAAAATAATACTTTTCACAGGACATTTAGATATGTATTATTTATATGACATTAATTTCAGAAACGACTAAAACTCCCTTTTCTCTATTATTGTTTTTTCCACTTTTATTTTATTTAAAAATATTAATATAAAACATATAACTACAGTATCTCTCTTAGTCTGACTCTTCCCCTTCGACCTGTCCGGCATGGGTGACCCTACCGGTAACTTATTAGCGTTTTTGAATGAAGCAAGTTTAATCGCTTTGAGAGCGATTAAACCCAATTTATGATGAATATATTTGATCAAAAATAGGTTTTAAGATCTGATTAATATAGATAATATAAAGTACATTCTCCGTTTTCACGCTATTTTGTCTTTGAAGTACAAGATTCTTTGCCCTGATTAATCAATCAAACGCTTACTCGAAGTATTCATTAATTAATCTAATAATCCAAATACCTAAAATCCAAGACAGAGTTTGAGTTTTATTTATTAATCGATTTCAGAGCGATCAAACTTGATCATTCGAAAATGCTATATGTTACCGCCGGCATAGCTCTGAGGTTCATTAGAGTACGCAAACCTCCTCACCCGGCAAATGCCTTCGTTAAGGTGGAGATACCATCGAGGAGGAAAAATATGTGAGGATAGGCTTTTTCCTCTTTTTCATTTCTCAAGTGAGGATAGGCTTTTTCCTCTTTTTCATTTCTCAGGGGTTAGGAATTATTTTATTTTAATACAAAATAATTTATTACACGAAAATGTCCAAAATATGTGTATAATAAAAAATGTATTAGAAATTGTTAGACTAGACAAGGCTTTTTAGCGACGATTAATTACGCAATATTTATTATTAATAATTGACTAATAAGTTTTATATAATGTAAAGAATCGCGATCAAAAGAGTCATTAATAAAGTTATTAATCGTCTTTAATTGTAGAAGAAAGTTTAGACTAGACAAGACTGTTTAGAGCCGATTAATTACGTAATATTTATTATTAATAATCGACATACAATTATAAAGCTTAATAAGTTTTATATAATGTAAAGAGTCGCGACCAAAAGAGTCATTAATAAAGTTATTAATCGTCTTTAATTATAGAAGAAAGTATTTGTGCACGATAGGTGCATTTTGCGCAGACTTTCAAAGAAAAAATTCAAGACGCAAAAAAATAGACAAAGTTTCGATGTACATCAACGATTAAATTATAAAACAAATCGCGATTTAAAATTCGCGAGTAAACGCGACAAATAAATAAACCGACGATATTCGTAATATTCGATTGCGATACGCGTAATTTCTATAATAATCGAGACTCATACACATGTACGCGTGCGCGATATAATCACTATCATTTTATACAAAGATATTTTGACAGACATTCGAGATTTGTTATATAGCATCCACCGCGATTTATTTTCCAATACGCGATTTTATACGAACGTCGTAGTCAACAATAATATATATATATTCTATCTCAAGAATGACTGTTTTAATAGAATAAAATGAGTCTTATAAGCCTTTAAATATCGTTATAAAAAATCGCGTTATTGTCACGTTTTATAGAAAATAACAGACCCAACGATTTTAAGAAGACCCTCCCTCCATCGAGTGACACGCTGGTTAATATCCGACAAAGAGAAGAACGATCCTAAAGGCGGAGAACGATCAACTTGTCTTGTTTCTACATCAGTTTCTGCAAGATCGATCCGCAAAGAAAAGTTAAGTGATCCATTGAATGTTAGAGCCGCTGCAGGAGGGAACGAATCCCGGATCTTCCGGACTGCTCCCGATAGCAACGATTTCGGTAATGAATTAACGACAGTTACCATTTATCTTCATTTCACGAGATTGAAAATTGCGCGAGAAAACATGTTCTTCCATTATTAAGAAATATATGTCTTTATTAAAAAATAAATGGATATAACAATTTTTTATGAAAATGTGGTTACGAACAACTATATTTATGGATAATAAAATACATGCGTCGTTATTATAGCTAGTGTTAAATGTGCGAATACAAATAATTCTCGGGTACCAATTATTCGAGACGAATCGAACCCGATAACAGCAAAATTTAAAATATTTCAATTTAAATACTTTGCAAGTCTTTTTTCATATAAAAACAATAATAATATTAATACTAATAATAATAGAAGAACACTTTTAACAAAGAGAAGAAAATATATTTCTCTTTTAAAAAATATATACTGTTTAAATTAATTTCTTAATTCGACTTTAAAGAGGCATGTGGTGCTCATCGTTGTTTTACTACCGAAATCATTACTTTCAGAAATCGCCAGGAAAACTTAGGTTTAATTTCAATCCTGCAACGAAAATCCCCAATTTTCAACAAAGCACCGAACTAGACATCGCGGATGGATCTTACAAAAACTAACAAGAAATAATTCTCCACGATAAAGATCGTTTCGACTATTTGCCGGTACGAACCAGACAACTTTTTTAACGTTCACCTGACGAGAGGGACAGCAATCGCGTTCAAGAACAGAAAGAACGAAAAAAACGCGGAAAAAATATGGTGTTTTCGCAGTGTAACTTAATTTATTTTACGAATATTTGATTGCGATACGGAATTCGTAAATACATCAATCTCTAATTGAAAATAAATCATGAAATTCGTACTAATTTACTCGCGATTCTGCAATATCATTCTTCTGCAGGACAATCGTTAAATTTCGTGAATGAGAAGCTGATATTTAATCGTTAGTTTAACATCGAATCTTCACACTCTTATCCAATATTTTTAATACCAACGAATTATACATCTTTGTAAAATTTGTAAAGTTTGAAATATAAAATATATATAAAGTTTCCCGATTTTATCAACGACGCTTTGATATGAAAACGCATAAACACACGGTTAAATGTATGTATGTGAGAACATTTTTACAATACATACTTTAGAAATAAATATATGTTAATTGAACTAATTTCTATATATTGTCATTATACGTGTTTTGGTAATTTTTCGTGTAATTTACAAAAAAATACATAATGTTTTATAATATTATTGATTTATTTTTTAAAATTTTTCTGAAAATAAAATTTGAATTGGATATTATTATATATTTTAATCTTATTTCTTTTTCTTTAATGTCCTAATGATCCCTATAGCCCTAACAATCCTATTTGCTGGCTGAACCAGCGGAGATTCGGAAAATATACCGCGTTCTTTAACCGCGCGCCCTAATCGCGTTTCCTACTCGCGTGCCCTAATCGCGCACCCTAATCGTACCTTATGTACTTCTCGCTACGCATTTTGGCCAGTATTGGCCGCCTATTTTGCGTAGCCTATGTCCATTCTTCGGGCCAGTTGGACCTACCTTTCGTTGCTCCTGGCCACTTTCTGTATCGATCTCTAAACAGAGATCGAAAAAGGAGATACACACTCCTTTTATCGCCGGCTATTTATTATCGCCGGTGAATAGGCGCAAGATTTTTCTTGCGCTCGTAAGGAGATAAAATCCTTCTTTTACCAAATAATTATTGTCATCGGCAGATGAGCGTAAACATTTCACGCTCGATGACGATCGTGTAATTTTACGATCGTTCGTTAGACGTTCATTTTAATATAACTTTATTTCAACTTTTTAAAAGACTGTTTTTTCTAATAATAAAAACATTTATGTAAAAGTCTTTCTTTCTAATTTTCTCTTGTTTAATTCATTCAAATAATTAAACCGAATTAATACGCGTACGCGATTTTTATCAAACAGAATATAAATAATAAATACTCACCCTTGGGTTGCTCCGCCGGTGCAGGATGCCTCTCCTAGGCCTCCTCCTCCTCTCAAAATATCAGGGTTACTACGTTGCTCTGTAACATACAAGCCACTCCACCACGTCAAGGTGTACCCATGGGAGGGTTATATTATACAATATATAATTTAGTAATATAATATATAACTAAAGAGAGAGGAAAAATGTACTTTATAATTGAGAGATTATTGCATCCTTCTTTTTCCTCGATAAAATGAGATGCGATATAGATATACTTTTAAAAAACAAGTGTCAAGTACTGAATTTACTTTTTTAATTAAAAAATAAATTATAAGAAATATATATAAAATTATATAATGTCAAAGTCAATGGATCAATGCATCAAATTAATTACTAATCATTCGATCAATTATTACTCATGTTGCGAGATTATAGTTGAATGTAGAAAATATATATAAGAATCATTAACATAATAATTATTGCTGGTAAATACATCGCAACATTAAATTA